TATTGAATCAATAACTTCAACTTTATCTGAATCTACCTCAGATGTATCATACACTGTTTCTCATTCAACCATAACCACACTAGCCAATACACCAGAAACAATCGCTGATTCATCCTTTAGCCCATCTGATTCAAACACCAATAAACCATCTACCACAGAGAACTGGCCCAGCACATCTGAATCAAGTTGGAATATATCATCTATTGCAAGTGAATCAACCACATACTTGCAATCCAGTCCCTCTGACTCAACCATAAATATATCAACCAGTAAATCCCAATCAAGCACACTCTCAAATCTACCCAAATCAAGCACAGTCTCACTTTCAAGTTCACCTAAATCAAGCACAGATGCTTCATCTTTAAATGCTACATCTAAACTGTCAACGTCTTTGAGTGCTCTTCCTTCCAAAAGCACCATAAGTACTTTTGATCCAGGTAAGTTTTTTCATGTTTCTTGTTCTACTATACTTTTTATAAGTGAGACTATATATGAGTATATTGCATTGTAGATACATTGATTGACATTTAGAGAGGAAAATAAATCTCACAAGTAAGTTTTTTTACAACTTTAGTTCAACAAACTGGTATAAAATTTCAAATTTTAGAAAAAAAAATTGCCATGCTTTGTTGAAGACTTTTTCCAAAAATGTTTATTTTGATCTAAGGTTTTAAATTCCCGGACTTTTAATTCTCAACATTTCTAATTTATTTTTAGTTTTTAATTAGGGCATACATAATTGGAATAGTTATATACTCCCTCACATGACTGTGTTATTTACTTGAATTTCAAATTCAAGGCCAGAGAATTTGAACTGCAAGCATAGCTGACAATTTTCTCATTTATTTTTTTTTCCATTAAGTTTAAAATTAATTTTTAATTCTCACTTTAGTGAATAACCTAGTTAGTAAAATAAATATTTTTAATAAGAGTATTTATACTCAAAATATAACACACTAGAAACCCATAATTAATAAAATCAATAGTTAATCTGAAATTGAAAGCCAAAATTGTTTCTAAAACATAAAAATTATTTGTCAGTTCTCTAAATTTCTTATCATGTTGAATAATTCAATCTGTGTCTTGTTCTCTCTAGAAAGTTGGACAAAACAGTGTAATATCTAAAATGTATTACATTTGTAAATCTGAACTCAACTTCCATCATATTTATTAGTACATCTTGTGCTTAGAAAAAAAATATATGTTAGCTATTATTATTTTTATTTTTTTTAGCTATTACAAGAATTCTTGGCAGGAATATTCACGTCGCACACTGTCATGTCAACATAACTAGTGAACAAATAGAATTATTCACTAATGTGAGAACTATTTGGAATTCAAAGTTAATTTATAATCAAATTCTAATTTTAAACTAAAATAGCTTAACTGGATACCTAGCTGACTCAATTCACTATTTCGACTTTAAATTTGAAATTCACTTTCAATCCTCACTTTACTTAATAATACTGGCAGCATTAGGATCAATCTAAGGGAAACAGATAGTCATAGGATTTACACCCCAAAATAAAAGTGTATGGTGGGTAAATCCCTTAGTTCCGGTGGTATATATGAACTGCCATTGCAATTTCTCTGCTTTTCTATGGGAGTTTTTAAATTGGTAGATGGGTTTGTTTCTGACATAGTAGCTGACATATGCATATTAGTAACGCTCCTTCTGGAATATGTCTTCTGTGACGCCACATCAGGTGCTTGTGAATTCATCTGTATATGTAGTTTACTGTCCGTAGTAAGGTTTAAGCCATACCAGAGCATTAAAATCCCATTGCATACACAATGGTAGCAAAATAATTTTCACATTTCTTTGAGGTTGTGAATTCTTGTTTTTAAATATTATTTATGGTATTATTTTATCCTGAAATAGATGCTCAATGTAACAACAATGGTTACTATGATGGCATCAAATGTATCTGTGGAGAAAACTTCTATGGAAGTCGTTGTGAATTCATTGTGAATGAGATCCGACCAGGTAAGCGAGTAGTTAGACTGGACAGATATTACAGTTAGAATTAATGGTATCTTCACATGAATACATCAGATTTTAACATAACTAATTGTTGGGTCACATAGGGTTATTTTTGCTATTGGAGTTAACTTAATTACCACGACCTTTAATGTAAAGCATTTTTATATAATTGACCAGATAACAGCCTTGAGCACAGAGAACAAACTACAACCTGTTGAACTGACACTGATAAGCATATCTTTATGATTTACACCAGTTTTACTACCTGCTATTGTCACATGTTTTCTCTTTACTCATATGTAGAATAGAAAAAAAAATACAAATATTTTGGAGAATACCGTAATAGTGATGTCCCGAACTGTTAGCCGAACTGTTCGCGAACGGTTCGCCACGGTTCGCCACGAACGGTTCGCCACGGACTCCAGTCAGCAGACACATTTCAGCCAATCAGCAGCAGACCCTCCCTCCCAGACCCTCCCACCTCCTGGCTGGACCAGGAGGTGGGAGGGTCTGGGAGGGAGGGTCTGCTGCTGATTGGCTGGAATGTGTCTGCTGACTGGAGTCCGTGGCGAACCGTTAGCGGCGAACCAAGGTGAACCATTCGGCGAACAGTTCGGGACATCACTATACCGTAATAACCATAACAACAATATTATAGAAGGGCTTGATGTGCCTATATTCACAGAACGGCATATTGCAATTATTTGGGAAAGAGCAAAACAACTATTATATATTTATTTGTTAAAGGAACACTAAAGGGTCAGAAACACAAAGATATTTTCCTAACCCTAAAGTATTAAAATCACTGTCTAACCCCCATGCACTCCCCTCCTGCCTTGCCTCCCTAACTATTATAAAATATTAACTTTATTCCAGTCTGCTGGTGTTGGCTTTGCCCATGATTAGTCTCCTTGTCTGACATCATCAGAAGTGATAATCTGAGCCAACCACAATGCTTTCCCTAAGGGAAAGCACTGGATTGGTTGAGCTTGTCAATTCTGATAATCTCAGCCAAGGAGGTGGGGTTGGGGGCAGAGCCAAACTATGCCATGGCCAATCAGCATCTCCTCATAGAGATGCATTGAATTAATGCACATCTATGTGGAAAGTTCAGTGTCTGCATGCAGAGGGTAGAGACACTGAATATCAGCGACACTGTGCAGCACTGTCCTAGGAAGAACTTCCAGTGTACGTGTTATTAGATAAGCGTGCATTGTGATGTGAGCACGGCTCTCTGCATGTTTCGCACTGAGTGAGTCCAGTTAGAAGGCTGTCAGTCAGCCTGGCATGTATTCACATAAAACTGACATGCTCCTTTGGTGTGTCACCAGTGACAAAAGTGGCTTATATGGCATGCCCCTTTAAGACTGTCCTTCCCCTGATTGCATGCCTTACAATGTTGGGGGGTTGTTTCTCTGTAAGTTTGATGTTATGTGTGTAGCTAAATACAGAGTTAATGATTACGGAGTGCAATGTGTGCTTTTATTGATTATTGCTGGCTAAAGCAATTATAGACTCTCACATATCAGCGTTTTATCCTAGTGCAGATATCCTAGTGCAGATATCTATGAATTGACATATTAAAGTGAAAAGTGTAATGGATCTTTACTGTTTATGAAATTACAGATAAACTCAGAACTGCAGTAAATATCACGGTAAAAGTGTGGAATGAGAAATTCAGCCAGGACTTGGGGAAAAAATCATCAGAAACTTATGTGAAATTTGAAAGAAGGTTTAAGCAGCAGGTACGTGATTTGAGATCGAGGTTATTAATAGCCTCATTAATATTCCTATATTATCTGACTGTGGAGTAGTTAAGAAACAAATCACCAATAAAACACACTCAAGTGTGTAAAACAGGGAGTTTCCTGCCAGGCTGCAATAGCTGTCAACATTATAAAATGTGGGGATTCCCTAGTTCTGAAATGAGAATGTCAATAACACTGTGAAGGTAGTTAAAAGCAAAATACACAAATATAAGTCCTGCGCTCAGACTCCCAATACTCCTGGGCAGCAGCAACGACCATAGTACACACCAGCCCCAGTATATACAATAAAAACACAGGTAATTTTTTTCTTTGGTTTTAATCCTTAAAAAATAGTTCCTAAATCACCAGTGTATAGTAATATATATTTTACGAATGATCCAGTTGGACCAGTTCCTGCCATTGACCACCCACTTATGGTACAGAGAAGGACCTATTCAGGGCTATTCATTAAATTGAGAATTTTTGGAAATTCCAAGTAAATTTCAAATTACAGACCAAGGCATCCAGACTGGTAGCATAGCTGATTTATTTTCCAAATTGGCTAAATCTGAAGTTCACGTTGAGTCCTCTTTGAATTGGGAGGTTAGAGAAAGTTCTGGGGTGTACAGCTGCTCCATAGCTTTCAAATAGTTTTATAATACACCTTTGAACTATATGTGTCCATAGCAGCTTTATCTGTACGTTTGATCCATTTCTGAACTCCAGTGTTAATGTCAATGGCTGAGATAACTGTATGTCAGTTACGGTAGAAACTCACCCATGTGATTATTCTTCTTTGCTCTGTCCTGCAGATGGCCCTTGTGTACACAAAGGAAAAGATTCCCAGCTTCGAAGGTTTAGAAATAATATCTATCAGGTAAAGTCCAGAGTGTTTAACCTCAGCCATGATGCTTTTAGATTCCATTTAGAAGTAAACAGGTAGTTATTTGGCTTGTGCATGGTGAAAAAAATGTGTTTTGTCTGAATCGATTTATCTGGATTTTTCTTTTTTGATGAGCCGAGTTTTATTCTTGTGATGTTTTAAGTTGGGAGGAATTTTGTTTATGTAATTATTTCTGGTGTTTTTTTCAGTGGATTACAAAATATAACTATTATGTGTATGTTGTATAGCACATGGGCAAATTTTTCAGCTATTCGGTTCTAGATCAAGTGAAATAAAATAACTTCCAAATTGCAAAACAATGAAACCAACTTTATCATTGTCTATTTCATTTGTTTTGTGATTCATTGTTTAGCGTTTCAGAATTCAGAGTTTCGACCCTACAAGAACCTACAATCACCCAAAATTCAGACGAATCACAATTCGTATGAAACAACGCACAAGTGTCGTAGTTATGTGTAACATCATTAAGGGCTATTATAATGAATGAATATACATTCTTCAAGAACCTTTAATGCCAGTCCCACATGCTCACTGATTTTAAGTAGTTAGTCAATTTGTTATTTCAGTAGCTCGTTGGGATCGGACTGAGGTGAGTGAAGAAAAAAAATGGATTCAAGGAACGGTAAAATACAGTAAACACAACCCACTCAAGAGGCTTAGGCATGAAAGATAGTAAGGAAAAAGGGTCGAAATTGGAGTTTGGGTCAAGACAATGCTTTTTTAGGACTGGAATTATGGTTGAATATTGAGAAGGAGTAAGAGACAGCAGAGGAGTGAGATCGAATATTTTAGTTAGAAGCAAGTGAATGGGTAAGATGATGGAATTGGGTTGTGAGAATAAGGGATAGTGTGGGAGGACAGAAGAAGAGTTAAGAATCTTTCTTGTGTAGTGTATATGGGAGACCTCTAGAAAGAGTAAAACATAAGGTAGAGCTTAAGTTATTATTATTATTACTATTATTATTATAATCATTATTTTGATATATAAAAGTGGCAATATATGCAGCAGCACTCTGCCATACAGAAACTATAAATAAAGCATTTTATATTTGAATAGTAATAACAGATGATCCAAAATGGTGGTGACCTGACGAAAGTGTTTAAAGGACACTCACTGTGTCCAGTTAAAGTGTTTGTGATTTTGTCCCGTGCATACAACATATTTCAGTGCATTATATAGCTGTTCTTCACTAACTGGTGACAATCACCATGTACTAAATATTCGAGTGTAACAGTTTTTCTTTTCTTTCTCTAGCAATGGAAGTATTGTTATTCAGCACATGGTTTTACTGGACACTTATGCAGAAGAATATGACTCTATTGTAAATGAAATTGCTACAATATTAAAAAACACTAATTGTACGAGCTACATAAATGCAGGTGAGAAGACAGAACCTCTTCAAAAACTAATGCAAAATCCAAATCACATAGATATACATTTGTAAAATTGAAAGACATTACTTAATGTAAGCACTGCCTTATCAGAGAAAAGACAGTGTTTACATTACTGCCTAGTAGCACCTCTAGTGATAGTCACTCAGCTGGTCACTCGAGGTGCTTTCTGGATTAGTGCTGCACAATATGCAGCACTGAGTAATAAAACTTGATAAATATCCCTGAAGGAATCGAAATAATGTTTTTCCAATTAATCTGTTGATGTATGAACCCTTGAGTGCCTGGACTACTTTGCTGTAGCTCATATCTTCCTTACCAGTCCTCTCATGCTAGCGACCTAAAGACCAATTATAATCTGCAACCGTTGCCAGGCCTCCCATGATTGATGCAAAATGCTATCAAATGCACTTTAATTGTATCCAGCATGTCCATCGTGAATGAAATTTGGTAGCTGGGGAAGGTCATACAAGGAGATGCTGCAAGACAACATGGAATGTGGCAACTTCCCTTTGCGATACCTTTTGAGATCCCTTAGGGTATTTGGTTACCTAAACTCCTAAAGATTATGTACAGTGTAACTTTCCCAGAAATTTTTTTTTACATAATAACAAATATTACATTTAGCACATTTACATTCTACCGGTAGTGCATGCACAGCAATGCAATGCCATGGGAAACTATATCTCTGCCTCTATTTAAGGGAGCTTTTTGTTTTACAGATCTCCTGTGCTTTGTCCAAAACAGCACTCAAATTGTAAAGCAGGAACTAGATTTAACAGGTAAGATTACATCAACTATGTAAAACAACACAAGTGTGTATTCTGAGGATTCCCTGTCACTAACACTATCTTGTTGTATGTTATTAAATAAATACGAAGACACATTATTCACCATTATAGATATGATGGGGGTGGGCTTTTTCTTGACATACCTGTGAGATTTTCTTAACTACAATGCAGATTGAACTGGAAGTGTAAGAAACAGTGACACCACCTGGTTATTTTTATCTTATTTCTTCAGCTATAAAAAAAAAACAAATAAATATAATTTTAAAAAGGCTGTCATATCTTGTACCAACTATATAAATATAAAAATACTGTGTTTGCAAAGAGTGATGGATGGAATAAAAAAAAAGGTACATATCAAATTTTTTTTTATTAATCTGTGCCCTCTAGCCTATTAGTTGGGTAAGTCAAGAATGAAGAACTATTTAAGACTTACACACTTTTATTTATGTCTCTGCTGGCTTTCAGAGTCTTCGTTATGTTGTGACTGGTTGGCTTGCAATGCCTAATAATTCCACTGCACTTTCAGACAAGTCTCATTCTGAGGAGGCATGCCTGGTGATGTCATTATGTACATTACTAGATGGTCCATGCATTGGAGTCTTACATAGAGCATTGCAGGCTGCCACTGCTACCAACAAATAATCCCCAGGCCCAGTGGCATACACACAACCCATGGGGCCCCGGTGCGAAAACTGATCCATGGGCCCTCCCCCCCGTGTGCTTACTCTGCGCAGGCTGGGGCCGCAACACATGGCGGCGGGCACCTGGTCGCAGGGCGGTGGGCACCTGGTCGCAGATACACATACACTTAAAGGACCACTACAGACACCCAGATCACATCAGCTCAATGAAGCGGTCTGGGTGCCAGGTCCCTCTAGTTTTAACTCTGCAGCTGAAAACATAGCAGTTTCTCACTTACCTTTCTCCAGCGCCGGACTCCCTGGTTTTGAATGCGCGCGCGGCTCTTGCCACGCATGCCCATTCGGATCTGAGAGGTGGATCGGGGCGGAGAGATCACCAGCGCTAAGGGAGTCCGACGCTGGAGAAAGGTAAGTGCTTAAGACACACACACACACACTCTCACGAACAGATGCATACACACTAGCTAACAGACACACACATTTACTGACAGACACACACTCAGTCACAGACATACATACACACTCATTGACAGACAGACACACACGCACTCACTTACAAAACACAAACTCACTAACAGAAACACACAAACTAACACATTCAGTAACAGACACACACAGTAAAACACTCACTGACACACTCTATCACTAACACACATACACACACTAACACACACACACACACACTCTAACACTAACACACACACTAACACACACCCACACTAACACACACACACTAACACACACACACACACTAACTCACACACTATAACACTAACACACACACTCTAACACTAACACACACACACACACACTAACAATAACACACACACACATACACTAACACACACACACACTGACACACAGTAACACTAACACACACACATTAACAAACACTAACACACACACACTAACACACACATTTTTAAATGAATCCCCCAAGCTTACCTGTGGGAGTGCTGAGGGGATTCCCTGGGGTCCAGTGGTGTTGCTGGGCGGGCAGGCTGGCGGGCGCGCGAGGGAGCACTCTCCCTGGCTGAGTGCCTCCTGTTCAGCTCCCTCGCGCGCTGCGTACTGATGCCGGAGCCGGAAGATGACGTAATCTTCTGGCTCCGGTATCAGTGCGGTGTGCGAGGGAGATGAACAGGAAGCACTCAGCCAGGGAGAGTGCTCCCTGGTGCACCCGCCAGCCTACCCACCGGGTGACACCAGGGCCAGCCTCGGGGGGCCCTGAGGTGGCCGGCTCCTGGCCCCCCCAGGAGAAGAGGCTGGCCACAGTGGCATACATATGGGGTCGCAGGGCGGCCGGGCCCCCTGGTGGGCCGGGCCCGGTCGCAGACTCGACCCCTGCGCCCCTGGTATGTACGCCATTGCCCAGGCCTTAGTAAATCCATAATCCATAGGTCATTGAAGGCAACCATGCAGTTTGACTTACAAAGGTAGCTGTGCAATATGGTTGGGTGAGGGTACCTTTACAATCCCTCTGCAGATATGCAGAGGTAGAGAAGGGACCTCTGGCTTTAGGGATTCAGTTTTGCATTGCTTTACAGTGAGAAACAAATGTAATCCAAGTAAATAAGGGGTTAAAAAAAGGGGGTTAACTTGTTGCGGACTTAATACTGTGTCATGTTGTATTAATTGTTATGTAATTTACTATTAAATTAATGGAAAACATTTAGAATTATATGCTGACATTATATCACTGAATTTGACAGACTATTGTTTTTCCCTTGTAGATATCTGTTTAAAAAATATAAACATCCCTGAAGAGGTTCGACACAATTATTCACCAACGATGGTGTCTGGAATTCTAATGTGTGTGTCTAACTGCAGTATCAATAATGACTATTTTGTCAACTGCAACAAAGGCCAGTGTTTAGTTACACTACAAGGGCCACGATGCTAGTGAGTAAAATTCATCCATATTCTGTCTTTTTTTTTTTTTTAATGTATTATCCTTACTCAACTCAGGTTACTTGTACATATTTACATAGAAAATACAACATACTGGTTGAGAATAAGGTAGAAAACCATAAAAATTCCAGGTGACATTCCGTGTATCTCGAATGCATATGTTACATAGATAAGGTAAATCAGTGTCATGCACACACAAGGAGTAGCCATGTGAATTTGCTTTCAGATGCAGCAATATTTTACTGAAGGTTACATTATTTGTGAATTAGCCAGCCAATAGAAACATAGAAACATAAAATGCAATAGCAGATAAAAACAAGTTGGCCCATCTAGTCTGCCCAATTTTCAAAATACTTTCATTAGTCCTTGGATATAGCTAGGATAGCCTTATGAACTTCCCACACATGCTTAAACTCCTTTACTGTGTTAACTTCTACGACATCAGCTGGAAGACTATTCCATGTGTCCACTATCCTCTCTGTAATGTAATACTTCCTGATGTTATTTTTAAACCTTTTTCCCTATAATTTAAAACCATCTCCTCTTGTTATGGTAGTTTTTATTATTTCCTTTGTGCAGCAGAGGAAAATTTATTTTCGTCAGAGACTAGTTGATTGATGTAATGGTCACATAATGTTTAATACTGCTACTATGTATTTGTAATTGGTCATTGAAGATTTAGAAAGTTACGGGCCATCATATACAACTCAGCATATCAAATATACTCATCACATCAAATACACTGTATTATTAAGTGCTAATTATTATAATGGCTTTAAATGTCTATGGATAGATGTCCTTAAAGTCTTTTCTCAGTGTGCCATTTATTATTATTACTATTATTAGTAGTAGTATTAGCATTTATATAGCTCCAACAAATTCAGCAGTGCTTTACAATTATAAAAAGGAGATATCAGACAACAAGTGACGTACATAATAAAGACAAGAGTTGAAGAAGGCCCTGCTCAAACAAACTTACAATCTAGAGGGAAGGGGTAAGGAAACACAAGAAGAAGAATAGCATGTTAAAGGGAAAGAGGAATTGACTGAGAAGATTTCTGTGTCGAAATAAGTTGGTAAAAATGGTATGCGTAAGAACCAAGCAGTGGAAGGAGAGAACATGGGGAATTGAGGAGGGCAATTGTAGTGAGACAATTGTGTGGCGTGTTTTCAGTGACTTCTTGAAGCACCTGAGTCTAGGGGAGAGTCTGATGGCACAGGGTATGGCATTCCAGAGGAATGGGTGAGCCCTTAAAAAATCTGGTAGCAGATGACAGGTTAAGGTAATTTTAAAGTAAATAGAATGAGAAGGGGTGTATTGGTTGAATAAAGAGGAAATGTAGTGGCTGTGTAATTATTAAGGGTTTTGACATTTAGTTTTACAAGTTTGAATTGTATCCTAAAGGGGCAATGCAGGTATTTGGAATGCAAATGACTAGTGAGTTGCAATATTAAAGTTTGGAAATGGTCAGTGCACGAACAAATGCCTTAGTTGCATCTTAAGTTAAAAGAGGCATATTTAAAGGTGAAAAATTATGTAGACAGACTGGATGTGAGGAGAAATGGTAAGTTATGTGTCAAAAGTAACTCTATGGCAGAGAGCTAGAGGGATTGAAGTAATAAGTCTTTATTTGACATGTCAGGA